AAAAATTTTACTCCATCATGGTACATGTATGTACCAAGTGTCCCTGCTTTCAAAAATCATGTAGTCAGCTAGCTGGACATTGAAGTTTTAACAGAATTTGTTGAAACTTGCAACAATATACATGTATTTATATATGAGCTCTTACATTGTACTGGATTTTTCCCTAAAAGTTTAGTGACCAACACATTTTTGACCGAAATCACTAAGTCCATTAAAATAGTACATATATCCAAGATAAATGTAAACAATTTGGCTTGTTGTGCATTGAAGTAAACCTGTTAATAAACATATTACAGTTTGCTTCATATTTACAACTGTCATAAATTAATGAAACAATCCAGGTTCAATCATTTAAATTTTCTACAAATATATTTGACCTTACGTCTATTTACGACATTCAAAAAAATTACTTATCATAGAAAAAATACATGGAAAGTTTTTACACTTCAATGTCTAAATTTCAGGAATCTCACTGACATTAACATCTACATGTATGGGCAAAAAGCCAATTCACCTTATCCTACAATACACACTAATAGTAGCAGGTGTATTATTATTACTATTACAAATTACAGTGCTTCAATTAGATATTAGCAGATATAATTATAAATTATGAATAAAAAGAAATGGTATCTTTTTCATTTAATAAGACGTTAATTTAATACTTTTTGATTTAGGTGAAAATCAGGTGTTGATTTGATGTATGGTAATTTAACATCTATGATTAAATTTTCTTTTCCAAGACGATTACTAATATTATCAATATTACTTATGAATGATAAAATCAAATCATATGTCCTTAACTGACTTTGAAAAAATAAATTCGCACATAAAATACATCTAACAAATTCAATATTTCCATTTAGCACGGAAAATTAGAATAAAAATTTTCAATGAAATAAGAAAGTCATGTACTATTGTAGACTTTTCAATATATTATGTTGTCTCTTTATTGAGAAATAAAAAATGAAACACAAGGTAATTAAAGTCAAAACAAGAAAAAACACTTGTCAATGATTGCAATGGACTACATGTACATTTTAAACAATCTATGACTATATATTGTATGTTAATGCAATCTTCTTGAGGCTGTAATATTTGTGTTAATTTCGGTCATACACAGAACTAACATACAAGTAACTACATGTACTTAGATCCCTGGATGTCACAATCATACATTTTGTATTTCAAGTTAATTACGGTCATTTTACTGCAAGCCCAAAAAATTCACAATAACCTGAGAATATGATCTGTGTAAAATGAAAAGACTCTAGTAGATCATGAATTCTCTGAACCCGTGAAGACTAACAAAATACATTGCCAATTTTCAGAAATTCTCTTTTTTTTTGTTAGTCAATATCTCATCAATGATCAGTAATAAACTTAATCATGTGAAAAAAAGTTTCCTCAGTTACCTAAAAAATAAACTCATATTCTCTACAACAGAGTTCAAGTGGAATTTAGACTTGAACTACTGAGTTCAAGTAGAATTTAGACTTGAACTATTGAGTTCAAGTAGAATTTAGACTTGAACTGAGTCAAGAAAAATTACGGGTACCAGGTAGATTAATTCTCATGGATATTTTAAATGTACCAGAAATTTCTAACACACTCATCTGCAACTATACATTGTATGAATTTTAGATATTTTAGTATCAATTCCTTAGAAAGCTAATTTCTTTACATAACTTCTAAATATCCTTGAAACAAGTAAATCTGTTTATGTTTAACATAGATAGCAGTTTTCAACATAACAATAAACCTATTCACTTAACATAGAAAAAAAACCACAATGTGTAAACAATACAACATTTACCGGTTAATAATTCTTACCAGAACTACTAATATCTTCATGATGTACATGACACTCTTTAACCGTACTGTGATTCCATTCCATTTTGATATGAAAACAGTCTAGAATCTAATTACACCAATTAAAACAAATTACACTTTCAGGAACTACACATTTTGTGGCCATTGTAATCTTTCAACGTCTTAAAAGATTATAAATCTTTGTCTGGCTTCAGCAGACCTGGCAATGATTTATTTAGGCTAAAACCAGAACCATCTTTTTTGTGCCAAATATCATCTGAATGGAAGTCCTAAAATAGCTGAAAACCCAAGCCTGGTGTGGAGTTGTACTCTTGCCAAGAAAGCTGTTTTTAAACCTAAATCACAACTATTAGATGTAAGCAATATCTTACATGGTGAAGTAATATAAACAAAACCAAGAAGTTACCAATTGCAGCTGTCCAAGAAATACAGAGTTATCCCCCTTTACAGTAATTCACCCTACATGTAATTTTATTCTTTGAAGTTTACTGTAGCTGGCCTACATAGATTAACATTAACTATAAATTACTGAGAAGATGATAATTGAAACAAAATTGAAGAGACTTAAATGACTACTTCATCTCCTAGTGCCCCAGTACCGATACCCAATTTTCAAATCCAATATTGCCTGAACGGTTTTCTCTCTTTGAATCTTATAATTACTTAATTTTAGCACCATATAATAATATTAATTTAACACCTTAATTACACATATAGAGAGAGAAAAAGAGAGAGAGAGAGAGAGAAATGGGGTTTATCGTCCACTCGACACAAACATTGGTCATGTTGGGACCAACATATGGTTTATTTTTTTTATTTCAATAATTCGCTTGCACGTAGGGGTCCTTAGCAGTGGGAGGAAACCGGAGTACTCAGAGAAAACCAACGAGGTTGGACAGGCGACACTACTCCTTGTCACGTAAATTACGCATAGAACTGTTATGTGTTTTAATGTGTTCAATTACATAATGCCATTTAAATGGTGTGTGTTGTTTGAAATACTGTGACTGCATGAAATTCAATATTAACATTACATGTCTACTTTGTCCCTTTGGCATTGGTTTTGAGTTCAGTCATAAAGAATAGACTTTGAAAGAATTAGAATTTAGACAGGTAAACTAATTTAGTAATATTACTGGGCGATGTTTCGACTAGGCTTCTCTAGTCATTATCAAGCAATGATAAAATATGAAAATATACATGTACATGTAACAAGACAATATAGACATGTACACAACAATACTTGGTTAATGCTGATCAACCAGAGATTCCCTTCTAATTACCTTAAAGGTAACCTAACTTATTGTCTGATTAATTGTTTTCCATAGAACTGTTGTGTTTATTTTACTACACAGTTTCATGATTTGTACTAGTATTTTACTGATTAACTACAGTCCTGGAATACAATTTTCTTTATTAATGCACAACAATTCTGATGTATTTCATCATAATGCAAGAGCAACAAGGTGAACTCTATTATTATGCAATCCAAGATCTAAATCTAATGTTTGTTTTGTTTTATATATCACATGATTTGACTACATGTAAATATAAACTTTATGGTAATGTCAGTTCTTCAAAGACATGTACATGTTTACAACAAACAAAAGATTAACTTTGTGCAATCAACATACATAATAAAGCAATGTACTGTTTCTACTGAATATACTGTATATTATTAGATGCTTACATGTATGTTTACATATATATATGGACTTACTGATTTCGGTCAAAAGTGTGTTGGTCACTAGACTTTTGGGGGAAATCCAGTAGCATGTAACAGCTCATAAATACATGCATATTGTTGCAAGTTTCTATTAACCAGCAGTTGCCAGGCAAGATATGCCCACATTTTACATGAGATGAATAGAGAACAAGCTAAAAACAAAAGCATTTTTTCATACAATCAGTGGCCATTTTTCAGAAAGTTATGGTCTGAAATGAACAAATATCGAAAGGGACTGATCTTTGTGATGTAAAGATATAGGCCTATTTTAAGTTTCATAAAAATTGAATAAAAAATTGTGACCTTTGGGTTATAAACACACATTTCAAACAATTTAGGGGCCATAATCAAAAAGTGCAAATATCGAAAGGAACCGATATATTTGGGTTATAAACACACATTATATGATGTACACAGTTTTGCTCTCCAATATGCCGTTTATGCGATAATTTAACAGTGGTCTTGAGATTATTAAGCTAGCTTAACTTTGTAGTCTGACTGTTATTGTTAAGATGAGGCAAATAAACCAAATAAACAAGCCCCCCTCCTCTCTCCCCCCCCCCCATCACTTTCAAAATAAATAGCAGAAAATGTTCCTGATGGAACTCAGTCAAGGCTTTGAAGTACATGTACCTGGTAGTTAAAATCAAAATTATCTTGTCCCAAAGCATCGACCAATGAAATTGCTTAGCTCTGCTTAGCTTTAGCGGAAAATGTTAATCATTGAACTCTGTCAAGACATTCACCTAATAAACATCTACACTAAATTTAACCATTCTACCTCAATTAAAAGCAGAGTTGTTATGTTCCAAAGTCTTGACCAATCAAATTGCTTATCGCTACTTAGCCTACGCATAAAATTCTCATCATCGAGCTTACTTAAGGTATTGTGGCAAAGAAACTATACATTAAGTTTCACCATTCTCACTCAATTAGAATTAAAGTTATGGATCTCCAAAGTCTTGACCAACCAAATTGCTTAATTTGGACAGAGGATGCTTCATTATCAAATTTACTCAAGGTATTAATGTAATGAACCTATACACCATATTTCATCACTGTCACTTAATTAGAACCAAAGTTCGAGAAGGCTTCTGTTGTTTAAGAGATTGTTTATCTTGGCCGTATGAACAGGCATGCATTTCGCATTATCTTTTGTAGAAATCTATGGGTTCTTATATGCCTGTGTAATTAACTATAACCTCAGGCCTCGATGTCTGAACATAGTCTGTATGAATGCTCACTCTCCAAGTTTTATACACGCCAGCATTTACACTATCTTAATGTCATCTAAACATAAGAATATGGTCATTGGTAAAACGATTGCACTTACTAAATTTATTAAATATGGATCTTTTAAGATAACATTCTGAGAAAATAGATAAAAAACAAAACATGTAGATAGTAAAAATAGATGAAAATAAAATTCAAGATTAATTACCTTCACTTGTAAGATAAAAACTTAGTTCATCTCCTACATCCGGTTTACGACAAATATCTTTATTTACCACCCAATATTCTTTACGATCTAATAACCAATCAGAATCATCTGGTAAATCGTCCCCTGTTAATGTTGCCGGATCACATACCGTTAATCCGAAAGCTATCCCTCCAACATATAACTGCTCAATGTTCAATATTTGTATTACAATTTTTTCTCCACAATGTAAAGGCCGTGAAGTAAATGCATATGCATTACAATATTCATCGACTGTTCGTGTGGCTATTGTCATGTCACGGTTTAAATAAAGGTTTTTACCACACATGTTATGAAATGTCATTGGGACTAGGTCTACGTTTGCATGATATCGAATTGCAGGAGAAGAATCGTCTATCGATAAAGATTGGATAGACTGAAATAATTCTGCTGACTCGACTGTTGATGATGTTCCTACCATGTTGTTTAAAACAGGCGCTGCTTCTGAAATACATAAATAAAACATGGGTAAATGGTTTTGATCAAACAAAATTCCTGCACTAACATGCGTAGTACATGTATATACAACATGTTCATGGAAACATCGGCTGTATGTAAGGTACCAACCTGCAACAAATTATATTAATAATAAATAGTGAAATAACGAAATGAGTTTTTACTAGGTCATTTCTGGACTAACATTTGGAATGATGACAATTCAATAATAAGCTTGTGCATAGCAGTTCTTGGCAGAGGAACTTTACGAAGGAAAACAGGAAAGCTGAAGGAGACCCATCATTAGTATGTGAAAATATCATTTCACATTAAAATAGCTAAATGAAACATGAGATAAACATGGAAACAAATATGAATAATACATATCATTTCTTACATGTAGATCTCATGTTTTCCAAACAGCTGGGTTGAACAAAATAATCAACACAACTGACAAACTAATTGCACTAAACACACTCAAAAAACAAGGCAGAGACGGAGAACAACTTTTGAACACACAAACCCTTCTAAAGAGCAATCATAATGGCGACACAATTGAGAATGAATAATAGAAGTGCTTGAGACTCCAGGTGGCATTCCAGAATGCAACGTCAGTACCTATATTAACCAGCGGTTGCCAGGCAAGATACGCCCATATTTTGCAAGAGATGGATAGAGGAGGAAAAGCTTAAAACAAAAGCGATTTTTGTACAATCAGAGGCCATATTATTTATTTCAGAAATTTATGGTCTGAAATATGCAAATATCAAAAGGGACTGAGATCTTCGGAATATAAAGATACATTTTAAGTTTCATCAAAATCGGATAAAAATTGTGACCTCTAGAGGGTCCACAACCTTCGGATTACATACTTTAACTTTTACACACTTTGCGTACAAAGAGCGCCCATTTTGTCGGGCAGTTCGTTTTGATTTTCCTGTTCATTATGGTGGAATAGTGGTATATTTAAACGTTTTTCAAAATTGGATAAAAAATTGTGACGTCTAGAGAATACACAAAATAAAAAGTATGATTTTTCGTACAATCGGGGGCCGTAATCCAGGAAGTTACTGTCTGATATGCACAAATAGCGAAAGCAACCAAGGTCTTTGGGACGTAAACATATATTTTGAGTTTCATCAAAATCGGATTAAAATTGTGACTTCTAGAGGGTCCCCAACCTTGGTATGACATATTTTTACACTATTTGCGTACAAGGAGCCACCATTTTGTCAGGCAGTTTTGGTCCGATTGTCACGAAATTGGAACTCAACTGTCTTTAGCATATAACACAGATAAATAAAAACGTTTTTTAAAATTGGATAAAATTGTGATCTTTGAAGGATCCACAAGCTAAAACCGTGATTTTTCGTACAATCAGGGGCTATAATACAGGAAATTTTGGTCCGATATGCGCGAATATTGAAAGGGACCAAGATCTTTGGGTAATAAACATGCATTTCAAGTTTCATCAAAATCGTACCATCAGGGGCAATAATCCATGAAGTTATGGTCCGATACATGCCAATATCGAAAGGAACCAAGATCTTTGGGAGATTGACCTATATTTCCAGATAAAAATTGTGACCTGCAGAGTGTCCACAAACAAATTGACGGACAGACAGACGAACAGAGTCTGGACAGACAGACGAACAGAGTCTGGACAGACAGGGGCGACAGCAATATACGTCCACATGAAAATGTGGGCGTATAAAAATGAAATAATTAGGTTGAACACATATGTAATTACCATACTACATGTATGTAATATTTCCAAATTGTAATTTATTGAGATATTGCGATACAGCGAGTAGAAATATTGCAATGCACATGTATCACTGTAGGGATTTTGTCTGCAGTACTCAAACCTACATGTATTATGTACCGTGTATAAAAGGATGGCATGGTTCAATTCATTGTTTTTCTGTCTGTTAATTAAATATCCTACACAAATGTGTTAAGAAGTTAATTCTCTATGTATTCACTGATGTGGCCTGACCACGGTACTTTACATGTAGATAGGCCACTTATTACATATTGGTGTTCGATTTCCACACTTAATATTAATACACATCAAAGTATCATTTTCTTTTAATAGATCATTCTGATAAGAAAGTAATAATGTGTGGTTTAATATATCTAAGATAGACTTAGAAAATAGATCTACCCCTTAATTCAATTAGCAATCTTATCTCTAAGTACCAATAGTTGATATACTTGTCAAAAACATAAGCCTCCTCAAATCTAATAATATACTGTATGGTGAACAAGCAAACTTACTTTTAGACTTATCTTTTAACCTGGAAAGAAGTTTGTGTTTTTCTCTTAACTTTTTAAACTGGAACATGATCATTCAGAAAAAAATCCAGGTTGAAGATAAGCTTGGAGCATCAGAAGTAGCGTATCCTGATTGAACCCACTTTAAAACTTGTTGATGACAGGCAATAGTTTATACAAGACTCTACAAGTTATGTATAGTCATTTGGTAGCTTTAGTGTTCCGGTTAACTTGGTTTACCAGAGTAAAGAGGGTTGACAATATATAAGCTTACTCTGTAATTTAGGTCAGCTAGTCCTTGTAAATGTACTGTGTACAGCGAAATAATAGTCATCATATTCAAGTTTAATCTATTTATAAGGTTCAAATGTCCTGTTATCATGTGAATAATCCACTCATACTTGGACAGTAATCATAGTTATCAGTATTATATCAATTAATTAATCTAAGAAACAAAAGTGATGTAATATCCATTTATTGAAAACATGTAATCATGAGATTCACATAGTGTTGACTGATTGTCACACACCTATCTAAGGAACATCTGAGCACACATTTTTCAACAAACTCTCTGCCAATCAGAGAGGACTGGAGTACCATTTTTGTATGCAGAATGAACAAAGTGACCTCAGTCTTAACCACCGATGCTATTTCGCACATATATTCTGGACATGACCTACGCTATTTTCCAAACATCTGACCAGGAATATGCCCAATCATACGTCAAGATACCTGTATGGCAGGGATCATAATCGGCTGGTTTTTGTCGGCTTTTTCCGCTTGAAGTTCAATCAAGCCGATTGGTAAAACAATGAACTGGCCACTATGGTATCATAAATCAATCTACTTTCGGCTAAATTACAACGGGTTAATTATTACTCGTTAATTAAGAAGTCAGTCAACTTGCTTGTCGGCTACAATAACAATCATACCTTAGTAAGAATCGGCCACATGGTTCATAATCCCATTAATTAGCACAAGTAACGGCAATTTTGATAATCCGGTAAAAAAACAAAACAAGCTTGCTGATTATTCATAACAGGTTCAGTAAGTTGCCTTGAGGAAATAGGCCACGTGGCAATTGAAGGTGCACCGGTAAATAATAAAATAATAATTGGATCATAATTTAATGGTTTAACTGAACAGTTGTTAGTTAAATTTAAATCTTAGTTGAATATAATCCTTGGTTGGATAGAAAATCGAATACACCGAGAAACAGTGATTATTAATAAGCTCCAATGCCGAATCCCCGATGACCAGCGATGCTAGTTTTAGTTTTAAATAGCGTTTACCGTTGTGATTTTTTATTTTGTACACATGCTGACAGAGGTTTACTTTTTAAAATATTGTCGTTATTATTATTGAAACCTATATGGCATAGTCATATGGAATTTAATTTTAAAGCCATTTCATTTATGATTCTCACTGATCACTGTGCCTGTGTCTATCATGGACGAATGAATAAAAACATTTGCAAGTAATATGATAGAAAAAAAACCCCTACAAATTGTTTGCTTTGAAGAAATACATGGTTTTATTTCGGACATTTTGCTTTCATTTTCTGCTGTATAAACGAAGACATGTAATTTTGGAGGAATATTACTGTGAAATTGAAGCAATTGAGGGCCGGCACGCTTTCATTCTATCGTACTTGTATTATGAAAACAAGTTATTTTGTACAAATATTACTGACATAAATTTGAATACCGTGCGGGAATTAAATATGAAAACTAGCAAGGTGCACCTATTTATATTAGGTACAAATTTGAATATTTTGTTGACGCAAGAATTTTAAATATGGTCTGATTCCGTCTGCTTAAATAACAATAAGAGTTGTGCCCCTTTATTTTCGGTAAAAATGATTGGCAAGAACAATCTTGAAATAGCAATACTGATCTTGACACTTTTGGAGTGAGAGAGAGAGAGAGAGAGAGAGAGAGAGAGAGAGAGAGTTAGTTCAACATCCAGGCCAAACTAGGTCATTTCAGGACTAACACATGGTTCAATTTTATTTCAATAATTCGCCCACGTTTAGGGGTCTTTAGCAGTTGGAGGAAATTGGAGGACCTAGAGAAAACCCACAAGGTTGGACAGGCGACCCTACTCCTTGGGGAATCGAAACCCGCCAGTTGACTCAATGACAGACCGTATGATGTGGCTTGTTTGAAACTCTAAATTTTTTTGCAGAACTCACATTTTGACAAAATTAAGAAAGAATCTTCAATTCTAGAACAAAAGGCCCATGGACCTGAGCTGCAACCAGGTATACAAAACAGTACATAACTTTAAAGGGTCACCATTTCTGAAGTAATTATTTATTTTTGTATCTGTATTATAATATTGTTGCAAAACTAAATGTGAAGCTATAAAGAAAAGAATTTTGATGATATATTAACTTATAAAAACATACAGGAAGCAGACCACCATTAAATTTCACCATCTCGGTACCCACAAATTGTAGTTCGTCTATTTATATAGCAATTCTCTCTCTAGTGTCTTTTCTCCCCTTTGGCATGCCCATTGCTGTTGATTTTTTGGTCTAGAATGGATGACGAGGGTTTGAATTCACATTTTCTGCCAGGTTTTGGTAAATATTCATGATTTTGAGGCGGAAGGATAACAGGGTTATCAGGTTGGCTACAGTAATATGTACGGCAACTAGTTACATGTTTTTAGTATGCTTCTTCAAGTTTGTGTATCTCCAAATTTTTGTGGTTAACCTCATACAAATT